CTCCAACTTGCGTGTTACGTCAAAATCAACAATTTGGACGGTCACGGGCATTTTCTATAAATATCCTGAAACAGGCATTTGTGCACCGCCAAGGATTAACAGCTGACTATCACTGCTCTAAATATACATCAATTTGGTCAATTCTCCCTGTAACTTTTCATTCGTCTGTAGAACAATCAAAATTTACACCGATTATCATAATGCTAGCGCACATGGACAATTGCTATTACTGCAAATTATAGTACCTGGTTTAACGGACAGTACCTAGATTAGCGAAAAATAGAAAGTAATTAGTAATGAGCTTACAAACGTTTAATTTCAGAAATCGCAGCATGCAAAAATTTTACAGCGCCTCCCCTTCATGCGAAAAGGGTTTCTCACATGCATGTTTCCAAAAAGTAAATTCTTGCTTCCTGATTTGATAATTGTCGATTGAATTTACTATTTTCGCGGTTTACTAAATTGACCCCCTTTTTTGCGTATTTTCTATATATAGTCTAGAATAGTCAACACATGATATAAATTAAACGACGCAATCTGAGCAGCGAATCTGCAATACTCTTCCCAGAAACGTAGGTGATTCACGGCGCTGATTACGTCAAATATTTTTTCAAACAATAATCTTCTGTGACATTTTGTCGACGTGGCGCTCTGATTGAATATTTTAAGACGATGTGAATCACAAGTGGAATTTCCACTTAAAGCTAACTATAGAAGTTTTTGGTAACAATGTTCATCTTGTGTAATAAAACGAAATTATTGATTAAATGGTGTAATAGTAAGAATTTCTTTCATGTCTTACTTTTTGGTCCCGTCAATCACACTCCAATACGATAAACAATTATACTATATTTCATTGTAGAGATATTGAATTTTCTTTTTTGAACTGCGACTACGCACATGTTTATTTACGGGTTAATTAACATTATCGATGTGTTGCGCGCGCAGCAGAATATGCTGTAACTGAGCACAGTACGCCCGCAAAACATTCAATTGGAACATCGACCTGCACATGAATAGTCTCGGCACTGTTGCTAATTTAGACTTTAGATGCGGTAAGGATATATTTGTAATAATAAAAGTTGTGGAAGCTGCGCTACCTGTAACTTACAACGTTGTACAAGATTTAATGTAGTCATTTATCATCAGTATCAGACGATGCAAATATTTTCTTGAATTCTGCGAATAATGCAAAAATTTCCAAAATGATGCTTGTTATTTTTACTCGTCCGCTAAAAATATATAATTGGATCGTCATTTTGCGTTTGTTTATCCCCCTGATCAGAAGCATCACGTTTCACAGATTCTTCATCACTATGATTTTTCCATTCACAGCGTGTTGGTCTATTTACGGCGCTTTCACAGTAGGAAAGTACGACAAACCCTTTGATGAAAAAAAAAAAGAATAACCAACCCCAGCCTATGAGACTAACATGCACGGCTTACGCGCTGCTCAAACGCTTGTAACATTGATGTAATGTTCCCTCAATGA